GCATAAACATTTATCGTTCAGCCGTACTTTTAAACAAGTATGTATAAAGAGAGACTGACAGAAAGAAATTATTTATAATAAAATTTTATGTCGAAGTACAACGCCGAATAATTAGGATATAGGATGTGTAGTAAATGTTTAATTGATGTATGTAATGATATATACCACACAGAGAAGATTTTTTAATATCTTTTTAAGACTTTTACTGCTATTATACAGTTTATTAATAACGAAAATTTTCAAGTGGCTCACAGACTATGACCAGATTTTAAAAAAGGCATATGGATGTTTCACTTAGGTAAGAAGGACAATAAGAGCAGGCTGATGCAAATTGACTATCAGTGTTCAAAATGTTCCCAGTAGAATGTTGAACCGTTTTCAAGCTGATAATGCAGTTGCCTAGACTATAGGAAAAGACAGACCATCATCCACAACACAGGCATACGACTGATGCCTATCAGTTGTGGTTTTCTGCAACAGTAGGGGTGCCTAATTGAATCAAATGTCCGCAGCCGCGAATGGACGCCATGTCAGTATATAAGGCTGGCCCGTATGCCGGACAACATGGCACAAAACAGGTCATCTAAAATGATGCCAAGAACAAACCAGTGAACCAACGACACGTAGAACAACATTCTTTTTACAGATGTGTCACTGTTCATCTTCCAGCCACATAAGAAGCGTATACTAATTTAGAAATAATATGGAAAACGATTCAATTATTATATTACAGTAATGCCATGCATGTGGCGGTGGAGAAAGTATGGTATTGGCGGACATATTGAACTCTACATATTGTGGAATGGAACCATTAATGCCTTATATTATAAGGTTTGTTTGTTTGTTTGTTTGTTTTTTAATTATGCACAAAGCTACACAAGGGCTATCTGTGCTCTGCCCACCACGGGTATCGAAACCCGGTTTCTAGCGTTGTAAGTCCGCAGACATACCGCTGTGCCACTGGGGGGCTATATTATAAGGACCACATCATACAATCCAGGACCGTGTCTTTTCACTATATGCTGATGCAGCCGGACCGAACTTTAACCTAATCGAAGACAACGCCCATCATGCTAAATTGATCTACATATCTATTGAAAAAGAGGAAACTGAACAAATGGAGTGACTTAAACTCTCATTGGATTTCATCACCATCAAGCATATAAGGGTATGATCGATTTTCAGACACGCACTAGATTTCACCAAGTGACTCCAGACAATAAAGATATCCTCCAAACAACTTTTCCGGCAACTGTCCATACTAAAGTGAATTGTCTTAAATTTGAAAGATGTAAAATGACCTCTAAGAAATGTTTATCCACGAGAGTAAACTGAATAATTAATGACTTTCATTTAAGATTATATAAAAAACGCCTGATGTGCATAAAAATACCTGAGGAGGTGGTCGACAATATTTTATAACATTGTTTGTGGCCTGTAATAGCTATTCTAAATCATTATTTGATAAAATTCTCTGTGAATCTGCTTATAACTGGCGAACCGCTCGATCGATTAAACCTGGCATAGTCACCGAGAGCTCCACGTGGAGTGACATAATGGGTCGAGGCATTCAGAGTTGCCTCCCACGTTGCTTTGGGGCCCTATATTTCCCCATGAGTTGAACGGGTACGTCTGCTAGTATACTATAAATTCCAATTATCCTTTTATAGTTTTGTATAGTGTAAAAGAGCTGAAAATTTATCTCAGTCAAATTATTTTTATTTTCTACACATCAAATGCATTTTTGGGTCTAAATTTCATGAAATTAACTTCTCACTAAACTAATTGTACAATATTTTAATCATTACTTAATTATCGTGAATAAAATCACTTCAATTTCTTTTAGCAGAAATACCATTTAACCTAAATGACTAAATGTGGAATATTAAAATATTTAATTACATTTAACTCTTCCTAAAGAACGTAGGCTGGGCTGACATAGTGGTTAGTGTGCCAGACTGCGGATAAGAAGGTCCAAAGCTCGAACCACAATATGCCGCTAAACACGTTCCGTTCTTTCAGCTGTGGCTGACGTTATACTCAAAATAGCTATATCTATGTATAGGTGTCAGTGATTGTTTTTCTTCACATAAATAGTTCTAGGTTTCTGACCTAGTCTCTGATCTGACCGTTTAGCCCATACATTACATAATATGTCATTCAGGTTAAAAACACTTAATACTAGTAGCTCCAAAACTATGAAGATAATATACTGTCATTTCTGTTAGACTGTGTTGGAGGAAAACAGTATATTTGTTTTAAGTAGCAATACTTCACATAAATGATTATGACTCTATTATACATGAAGCATTATATAAATATTTAAAACAAGTGTCAATTGTGATCAACAAGAACGATTCCAAGAAAACAAGGTAGTTTTAAACTAGTGCAGTTATTTCAACATTCTAAGTAAAGCTTTCAGCTAAATTAATAATCAAATAAAAATATGGATGTCCATAAATATTCTAGGGTCTAATTATAAGGGGTACTTTGGAGCGCTGTATGTCTGCGGACTTACAACGCTAGGATCCGGGTTTCGATACCCGTGGTGGGCAGATCATAGATAGACCATTATGTAGCTTTGTGCTTGATTACAAACAAAACACAAAAAACATACTTTGGAGCTATAACAATATTATTATAGGCTATATTTTCTAAATTTTGCCGTTAATATTACTGTTTGGTCAGAGGGATACTTGCCGTAACGTGAAAGGCTTGGTTTGATGATGTGAACCTTCTTGAAAGATAAGGAAACACTTAAAGTAACATAAAACGTGAGCTAGGCTAGAGTATATTATTTATTTCCAAGTCTGTTACAATTGGTAATTTATAACTGAACTTTTATTAAATTACAGTTAACATAGTGTTATTTGATTTAGCTTGATTTGTTAGTCATTTTGTTAGTTCAGTGTTGCGATTACAACTGCAGATAAAGAGGGTAATAGTAGATTCACTGATGCATGACTTTTTTGTGCATTTGAGTAATATTAAAATATTAACTCTAACTTTGAAAAATATATTACATAACAATGTTCACAGTATAAACGGTTTGTGCAGATCAAATGATCCCGATGACTGAAAACAAAAGATTTCATCCTTTATACTAAACTATAATAATTTGAACGTCAAAATTTTCAACAACGTGCAGTGCAAATGAATCCAAACTATACCTTTGTATTTTTTCATACTGGTAAAATTCCAAAAATAAAAGTTTAATTTCATGATATCATCCGATGTAAATAAGTTGACGCAATGATATTTCTGGTCACCTACACAGTTTCAGTTTGTCACAACGACTTGTAATAATATGACCTAATACAATAATTATTATGTACATTCAGTATTTGATACAGTGCATATCATATTGGTTACATTCATGAACTGACTTAATACAATGCATTATCGGTACATTCAATAGCTGATAAAGTGCATATCGCTTACATTTATGACTCGATACAATACGTACTTGTACATTCTTGAACTGACCTGATACAAAGCAGTTTGTTTAAACTCATGACCTAATACCTTACATATTGTTTAAATACATGATATGATCTGATACAATGCATTTTGGGTACATTCAAGAGCTGATACAATGCATAGCGTTCAATTTATGACTTGATACAGTGCATATTGTGTATATTCATGATATGACATGATTTAGTTTACTTTCATGCCTTGATTCAATGCACTTTGTACACATTTGTGACTTAATGCGATGTCTGTTGTGTACATCCATGGCCTTACACATTGCATGTTTTGCTTTCAGGACCTGACACATTGCATGTCGTGTACATTCTTGACCTCATACAAACCATGTTATGCTTTCAAGGCCTGACACATTGCATGTTGTGTACATTCATGACCTCATACAAACCATGTTGTGCTTTCACGACCTGACACATTGCTTGGATTAGGTCGTCAAAAAATTAATGCCCCTTTTTTATATGAAAAATCCGGAAAACAAAACATTATTAAATGAAATAATTTCCATTCTTATCGATGATGTTTTTCCATCTTACAATCAG